CCTTTTTTTTTTTTTTTTTGGTCTGAGAGACTCAAAGGCCTCAAAGAACTTCCCAATTCTAATGCAATTCGATATGTTTTAAATCCCATGAAAAATACACAATCACACACACTTGGTTTATTGTATTTTTTCTTACATATTTTGTTTGTCAGGGTCAAACTGATGTGAAACTAAAGTAAAAGTGCTACTATAGTAGATAACACATTTTGGAAACATGCATGCCTGCTTTGTTATACAACAAAGTTAAAGCTTCGATCTGTCTACAGTGTTTTGACTAGGTCAAAGGCACATAGGTTAACCCAGGGTAAAAGGCACTTTTGATTTTTTTTCTCAAATCATTAAAAAGCAACAAGCACCACCACATCACTTTCCTAAACACCTGTTTGCTGAGAAATTGATCCATTATGTGCAATAAAATATTAAAAAAACATCTAATTAGATATAATTCTTAAATTTAAGATATATTTTTTAATTTAGCATATTTAAGGATTTTAATCCCTAGAAGGACCACATTTATTCTAAGAACAAAATTAATTCTTATGACATATATGCATATGGTAACAAATTATGCCTGATCACTATTGCACCTGTATCTACACTACACTATAATTTAAAAGACAGAAAGGTCGGCCTCAACAGATCATGAAGTTTAAAATTTACCCTTAAAATAACTAGGAGAGATAATCTACTCTATTTGCTGAAATTCAATATAAGGGCTTCTGAAATGTGATGACTAGAGACCAAAGAATTTGAGCATCTCAGTACAGCTGCTGTGCTTCACCAAGGTAAAATATTCAGTGAAACTCATATATTCAAGGAGCTGCAGCTATGACTCAGAGGTTTCTTTGAGCACTGCTCTAAAAAGCGGATGTGTTTCAAAACACATATGAAATAAGGGGATAGTTTTCTGTATTGCCCGCTCTTCAGACGCCATTTTCACACAGGTTACTCGTAAAGACACAGAAGGAGCTGCTCCAAGAGCCTCTTGGTGCTGGGTGGCAAGGGTTAAACGCGCCGTCTCTCTGCCATTGGGCGGTGAGACTACGGAGAGCCAGCCATCTGCAAGGAAAGCAGCTGTCGCCTTCACGCAAGAGACGTTAGACATCAGTGAACGAAAACAGTTGTGGATTCACGCCAAGACTTGTTGATCTTTTTCCATAAACAAAAAGCGGAGCTATATGTGTAAGTCTGGAGAAGAAGAACGAGCTGCTGTCTACTGGCTTTATTTAAACGGTGACGTTCGTGCGTTTTCCTCTATTTAATTGCTTAATTTCACACCACTGTCAGCAATGAGTCTTCACAAATTAAGGTGGGTGTTTTTTTGTAGATTTATCAGTCTACCTATTGTTATATATATTTTTTACCGTATGCTTAGGTATTATTGATCGTTTTGGAAATTTCTGCCGAAAACCTAATTGGAAAAGTGTGACATGGTGTGCAGATAAGCTATAAGCTCTGTCTAAATAATATTGAATTGCACTTACACATGCCATACAAATAACTACTGTTGCATTGAGGTTGTAATGTTGTGGCGTTAACACGTCTGAAGATGCATTGTTTTCTATGCATGATGCAGGATCAATACTAGTGGATGCCACTCCTACAACGTTTAAATGATATTTTTATGTCTTTATAATAGCACTTTGTTTATATGTTTTGAATATGTCATATGTTATATTCCCCGCTTTGCGTAATTAGCGTCACTTTTTCCTTCAAGTGTACAAGATGATCAATGAAATCGCATCATAAGCGCAGCTGCATTGATACATTGATGTCAGTGATGACCGCCTGATGCAATTAGTAACATTTTATCAAAAAAAAAAAAAAAAAAGACGTGCGATGCTCATAAAAATCCCTTTTAATTAGCTTCGCAGTGTGTAATATAGGCTTAACCAAAATGTATATCATGTCATCATGTTTTCCTCCTGTTTTGCATGTTGTTATTGTTGCTGCAGCTGTACGGTCGGGGTCCAGCCGACGTTACACTTAACTCTTTAGTTACAAGGTATGGAAATTCAATAACCTTTTAGTCTTTTACTGAATAGTTGATGGAGTCTTTTAATCTCCTGTACAACAGCAGGGATATTGGGAGTTCTCAAACGCCAGAGGTACTGAATGTTGATGATTAGATAGCATGTTCCTTTTAGAGGATTACAGGTAGATCGCGTGCGTTCCAACATATTTGGATTCAAATGTTTTTTGTTATCTTTTGGGAGTTTATAGAGACTAACGGTGGTTTAAAAATTGTCCGTCAGGACAGCAGCAGGCGATTCAGCACCACGATAGTGGACAGCGACTTCTCAGGCTTTGGGATTTGTAAGGAAGTGAATTATTGGGATTAACCTAAACGATTCTGGTTCCTTAACGTTTCATTTAGCACTTCAGATTCATTTAGTAGCCTATTTAAAAAATATATAATTGCATTTACTGCTCTTAACAGTCTGTTGACAAATAGGCCTAATAAAATCATTTCAGATACCAACAGGACAGATATAACACATTTATTTGACATGTCAGTTCTTTTAAAAAGTGTGTTTATGACTTTTCGGCATAAATGTAACCGAAAATGTAATCTAAAAAGAACCGGCTCAGACTACATTGGTTGCGCTACGTTACTGAATCACTGAAAAGAACCGGCTATAAAGTAATTAGTTTAGGAATCGAACTATATTAGTTGTGCTATTAATGATAAGCTGAAAAGAACCGGCTCGTGAAAGTCATTTGTTCGGGAATCAGATTACACTGGTGGTGCTACATGTTTTTGATTCACTAAAAAGAACCGGCTCATAAGAGTCATTCGTTCGGGAACCAAAAACTGATCGCGATGTAGATTCGATGTCAGCACTGGCATATAAATTCACGATCAGGAACCGTCATCAGAAACAAAACTCATGCAAATCACTCAGGTATTTTTAACTAAATTAAAATATTGATTGCTTTTGAATGATTTTCATGACTTTCGGTTCCCAACCCTATTTATCAGCCAGACTTTTAATAAAATATGCTTCTGCTAGTAAGTGGCTGGTTTAAGAATTTATTAGTTAACAGAGCACTTAACAAACATCGTAAAACATGCAGCTCATTTCTTGTTTCTCCTTTCCTCTTCAGCAGCTCAAATAAAATGAAACAGCCCAGAGAACCACTGGTAACAGTAACACCGCCTGTCCCATGGCCAAATTCATAAGGTAGTCTGCACAAAAACAAAAAACAAAACAAAACAAAAACAAAATGGATAAACCCTCCGCAGGAATGAGTCAAGTTGGTTCTCGCTCGACAGCCTCTCTGCCCCCAGAGCCTGTGGATATAATCCGGAGTATGTCATGCTACCGGCGTGTCAAACTGAACGTAGGGGGTCTGCCGCACGAGGTCCTGTGGAGAACCCTGGACCGACTGCCGCGCACACGACTGGGCAAGTTACGAGACTGCAAAACCCACGAATCACTCATGGACATATGCGACGACTACAACCTAGAGGACAATGAGTACTTTTTTGACCGGCACCCCGGGGCGTTCACATCTATACTGAACTTCTACCGCACTGGGAAGTTGCACATGATGGAGGAAATGTGCGCCCTGTCCTTCAGCCAGGAGCTGGACTACTGGGGGGTGGATGAGATCTACCTGGAGTCGTGTTGCCAGGCGCGGTACCATCAAAAGAAAGAGCAGATGAACGAGGAGCTCAAAAGGGAAGCTGATACTCTGAAGGACCGGGACGGCGAAGAATTCGATAATACTTGTTGTTCAGAGAAAAGGAGGAAACTGTGGGATCTACTAGAGAAACCAGGCTCATCTGTAGCAGCCAAGGTACAGCACTATATACAGCATCTTATCAGACTGATTAATAGGCCAAGATTCAGACATATAAACACATTTTCAGAAGGCCATCTTCTACAATATAATGCATTAGTTCAGAGACAAAAGGAGACCCGTTCTTAATTTCAGCTATTCTTCTTCTTAAAAAAAGAAGAAAAAAACTGATTTGCAAAAAAGTCCTAATATCACGTAATTTGATGATGCAGAGTTACAAATATCAATAACTTTTTCCCCCAAAATAAGAATTACGTTTTTAAATTGTATATACTGTACATATCAGCTTTAATGCACTTAGCAAAATAACAAAAGCAGTCAAACGTCAAACGTTTTTTTTTATGACAATAATAGTATTCAGAATTTATCATTTAAATGACAATCTGTAAACGGAATGAAAAAAAAAAGTTAAAATGCTTAATTAAATGTAAAAACTTTCCAGAAACTCAAGTTCATAAATAAGATTTTTTTGCAAAATCAAAAATTTTCTGTCACTATTTGGATGTAGTAAAGTGACCATAGTCAGTGACCATAATTCTAACATTAAAATCAGGATTAGGCTTAAATATCTTCAGAATCATACATATATGTGAAAATCGGCTGAGAATTGGACGACAGGAAGACAGGAATCATGCCTTTGTTGCAGTATTTCTGGTGATTAAGGGATAAAACAAGACTTCACCTTACAAATGGTTGTCGAAAGCAAAAATGCTACGAAATGCACATATTTTGTAAGAAAGTGTGACATGCTAAAACAAAACAGGGCACTATTTTTCAAATCAGCACCCCAAACTTATTAATAAACACATTGAATTTCATACAGCAAATATGATGCAGTGCAGTGTAATCAGACATGTGTCATAAACAATAGCATTCCAGCAGCATTCAACATTGTGCGTCAAACTTCTTCATCTGCCAAGGAGAAAAAAAAGCAACCTCCACATAAGCATATATCAACACTCAATTAGCTTAAAAGGGCAATGTAAAAAGTGCAGTTCAAGCCTCTGGACTCTAACCAAATTGCTGCAGTCGTGTAATCAATCACAACAGAGTGGCACTCTCGTGCTTCTCACATAATTCCAAACGTAATGTCCATGTAAACGTTCATCGATCATAGGTGCAGGTTTGACACTTATGTGTGTCTAAAAAAGTTTCTGCTTGACATCTTTGGTCTTAGATCAATAAGAACAGCATCTTGGTTGCATGGTATTTTTAGAGATGCAGTGCCTGTAAACTTCTTTTTTCCCTCTCCAGTGTCTGTCTATTTTACTTGCTCTAATTCCATAATTGTGTACCTGTGCTGATATATAGTCACATGGGATTGGGAGGGACAGTTCAGTGACTGTCCTTCTTGTTACCAGGCAACAGAGAGATGACTCTATCACTTTGAAAGTGTAACCCCCTGGCTGATGTGGACCATTGTTTTGGTACACTTGCACATATATATTTGTATTCAATCAGTGGAGGATGAAGTACCTGAAAGCCACACTTAAGTAAAAGTACAGATATCTTACCAGAAAATGACTTTGGTAGAAGTTAATATCACCGATTAGAATATTACTCGAGTAAAATTTAGGTATTCAGGGGTGCGTTTCCCGTACAATGACGTAACTCACTGATTAACCACCACAGTACGATGCATTGTTGTGGAAACTAACTAGCCAGTCACGACTGTTTCCCGAACACGGTCGCATCTTCGTCGTTTGAACCACATTGGTTCAACAATTTAGGGCCGTTGGTAATGACGTCACACGCATGTGGTGGAGTAATAACTTCTGCTAATTAATTGATTCGAGATTTCTGAGATGCTGCTGTATTGAACATGGCACCTGATGACTAATTTACTATGTTTTGTTCCCCGTCATTTTGCTTTATTTGATGTTTGGTTTATCACGGGTTTCCTCTTACGTCATACTCCGGGGTTCCCGAAGGCATTTATGCACATGCGCACTCTTCAAAAACGGCGCTTATTGAGGACGCGCTAAAATGTATCAATTAAAATGTATATATATTTAAATAGAATGGAAGATATAGATTGTACTGCATCTTAGCTTGCTTATTTTGCCCAAAAGCATAATTTATTTAAGTCTATATGTCTTACTAACAAGAAACTATGCTTCTAACCACAGGTCGAGAGCTGTAGTTCCTACCACGCAAGTTTGCGACGCTGTTTGCGAATGTTTGTTTGAACTATGGTTTCGGTAAACACCGAATCGTTGAACTATGTTGGTTACGACAGAACTTGCGACCATAGTTGGCTAACGATGCATTTGGGAAACGCACTCCAGAATAGTATTGAATAGTAATGAGTCACTGAATCATTCATCCAACCGATTCACTCAAAAAGCTGATTCATTCAATAAGGAAACACCGTCCTGTGTGTTGCTCAGAGATGCAAAACAGTACTGAGATCTTTGTTTGGAAGTATTTTCGTTGGCAAAATTGAGCAGAAACATGCAACTTTATGTCTAAAATGTAAGTCACTTAATGCTTACTTGACTTGTATAAAATCAATATTACATTTGTTATGCTGATATCTGGAGAGAAAAACGGCACTCTTTGTGTGATATAGATTAACCATATTAAATGATATAAATATAAAAGACATACAGGGGCATTTTTGCCACCTAGAATGCTTTGAATTTTGATGATGCTAAATGTATTTCAATAGACTAAATCATGTGGTGTATGCATGCACGCTCTGTGTGTTTTTGTGATATATGCAATGTCAGATCGCACATCATTAAAACAACATTTACCATATTATCACAAATGATATACTGTTTTTAGGAGTCTTAACTTGTTTATGATGCATTTCAAATGTTTTCATGTTATACTATGGGACGTGGTATTTTACATGCTATTTGTTGACAATAAAGCATTATTTAAAAAACAAAAAAGTCTTAACTTGCAAGTACCAGACCACTGATTCGTCAAACCTGTTTTCTTGCAGTCTGTGTTTTTCTGACTTAATTTTGTAGTAAGCAACAAATTTGCTTCGGGGAAATGTATCGGAGTAAAAATATACATTTTAATTAGGAAATGTAGTGGAGTAAAAGTGAAAGTTGACAAAAATATAAAAACTCAAGTAAAGTACAGATTCTCCCAAAAAGAAAATACACAAGTACTGTAACGAAGAATTATTACTTCGTTACATTACACCACTGTATTCAAATAAGAACTGAACAAAGAGTCAGGCTTCTTTTTGGCTTTTTCCTCTTCCGTCTCTCCCTCCCTCTATCTTCAGGCTCCTTCACTGCACCTCTGGCTAAATGTCAGGGAAATGTCACATTAATTATCCTCCATGAGACTTTGTGTCCCATTCTGTTTTAAGCCCCTCCTTTTCTCCCCCTATTCTCACTTGAACAGGCTCGGTCTACATCTGTCTCAAATCAGATTTCTCTGCATGGCCCTGCCGCACAATAAGATTATGTCAGACCGCCGTCATATAATTGCAAATTACCGCCTGGTCATATTTCATAGCTAGACTTCACTTTTTTGGCATTCACTAGTCCTGCATTACCATGCTATTTAGTGGATACTAGTAGTGTACTAACTAATAGTGTTTACAAGATAGAAGGTGGCATTTGCTTTAAGTTAAGGACCTTGTATTGAAGCCTCATGGTCAAAGCTGTGACGCTTCAGTCAAGGCATGAATGCTGAGGTAGTAAATGTTTTTAATTAAACTGTACATGCAGTTTATCACGTAATAGGCTCTTACCTTGATTCAGTGCCATTTATAACTGGTATTGACAAACTACACTGTAAATCTAGGTTATGCATATATAATCTATGCATTTTAAGGTCTTCAAATTGGAGTATATGCGTAGATAACATGATGTCAAAAATATTCTGTAATATTCAAATTCTCCAATATTCAAAGTCTGTAAAAAAAATAGGGTAATATGATGGAATTTTTTGTATTTATTTTTCTCAGATGTTTTCCATATTGAAATATGATGGCAGTCTGTCAATCTTATTTCCCTTATAAATTCATAAGGATTTTAACCAAAATTTTGAACGTTAACAGCATATGAATATTACAGTATATTGCTGTAAATGTTGTGCCTGAAGGAGACAGACAGACAGACTGCTGGTATTAGAATATTTTCCAGATGTAAGGAATGACAAATCATCCTAGATTAATTCCAGTTAAAGGTGGTGCTGTGAGTTCATGCTATACGCGCAAACAGGTCAAGACGGAGTAATTAGCATATGTTCTTTTCAAAGAATCTCATTTATGATTTAGCCCATCACGTATATTGAAGACCCACAGTTGTGACCCAGCCCTATGCCTGAGGATGTGGATATTTCCTGATTCTCAGAGGTGTCACAAAACACCAATCTTATTTACTATCTCCATTTCATATAAAGGGAAGTAATCACTTACTGGATGTGGTTATTTACAGCCAGTGTCCTTCCAGAAGCCCTTGCAGCATTGAGATAATGGCAGTTACCTTCTGGTTTGCAAAGCCTTCTGTGATACTTGAGAGTCGATACGGTACATTTACACAGATCTAGATAAAATATAATCATGTCATGAGTTTATTATCATGACTTTAATTTATAAAAAAATTTAAAACACCATATGGCACGTCAAAAAACGGCTGAAGGTGACCCTGTTTATTGTGAGAAAGACACCCTTTTTCCTGTTTTAGTTAATGCTACTGCAATTGTATTACTATTATGTTCAAGGGACATTAATTCTTATGAGACATACAGATAATAACCCATCCATTCTATCAATGCAACATTTATGAGGATATCTGATTAGTGCCTGTAAAGGTGTCTAATGTCAGGATGTCTAACCCAAAAATAGAAAACTATGGAAAGACTCCACTTTTGTGACCAGGGCTGGGATCAATTCCTGTGCAGTTTAGGCAGTTTAGATGATAAAAGTGAAAATCATATCTCACTGTATGAATTGATAGGACTGAATGAGGTTAAATGAATTTGAAATTCCTGAAAATATTTCAAAAGCTCCACCCTGTCCATTAATCCAGTAGTCAGACAATGGCAAATGAGTAGCCTAATTTGTGTGATTTATTACACTTCACCGTTAATGTGTAAGAGGTTTATTTAATAATAGGTTCTGGTATCAAAATTAGAACTATAGCAGGTACAATGTAACATGATTTGTACACTGCTGAAAGTGATAAATGGTAAGACGTACAACGCATTGTAAATATTACATACAGTTTCAAATTCAGATTTAACCACAAATAAAGCATTAATGTATGTACTTGTCACGATCGCCTACTGTGTTGGAGCGAGGAGACGAGGAGTTATAAAACAAAATAACCAAAAACAGTTTTTGTACCAAAAACAGTCTTAATTAATCCACAGGAAGGACACACACGTAGCACTTCTTAGACGTTCAATACCGAACAAGGGAGAATAGAACAGGCTAGAACTCAAATAGGGCAGATAATGAGGGGCAGACAGGTGAGGAGGATGAACTAATAATGAGACACACCTGGAAACACTGAACACACAATGGGTACAGCAACCGGAAAAACCAAATATGGACATGTCACACACAAGGGAAAAAACACACAGACAGTCCATATTCGTGACATATCGCCCCCCTCCCGGAAGGCGCGTCCTCGCTCCATAGGAACAACATCGGGAGGGATGGGTGGGAACTTGGGAGGAGGCTCAGGAGGAGGACGGACACCCGGGAGGAGCCGGCAGACAGAGTCCAGGGAGGTGACGATGGAGGGAGGAGCCAAGGAGGAAACAGGAGGAGCCTGGGAGATGACAGGAGGGACTTGGAGCATGCGGCGCCAGGTGGGACCCAGGCCACAGCCATAGTGACGACCCACGGTGGAGCCGACGGAGGGAGGAGCCATGGAGGAGGAAGGGCTGATGACTCCAGGGGGCCAACCGACTGCGGCGGAGCAGGTGACGGAGGAGCCCGAGGTGGAGACGGAGGGCTAATGAGCCAGGGTGACAAGGAGTATCCGGATGGCCAAGGCAGAGCAGATGGCGCCGGCGACAGAGGTGGAGGTGGGGATCCGGAAGGCCGCGGTGGAGCCGGAGCGACAGAGGACTGAGGAGGAGCCGAAGGGATGGAGGAGCTAGACAGAGCCGGAGGGACGAGGCGCAGCCAGAGGAGTGGAGTCCCGAGGCGACGGATGGTCAATGACAGACCAAGGCGGAGCCGGAGGAATGAGGGAGTCCGGCGGAACCAGTGGACTGATGGACCACGGTGGAGAGGAGGGAGCTAAGAGCCATGGTGGAGCCGTTGGGTCGACGGGCCAAGGCGGAGTACACGGGGGAAAACAGAAAACAAAAACTGTAGAAAACACGGAAATCGACGAAGGGGAAAACGCAAATAAACTATTTTAAAGGTCCGGTATTCTGTCACGATCGCCTACTGTGTTGGAGCGAGGAAT